ACGCACGCACGCACGCACGCACGCACGCACGCACGCACGCACGCACACACACACACACACACACACACACACACACACACACACACACACACACACACACTCCAAACAGACATACACACATTCACACACAATGTAGACACAAATGTTTGAGCAGTTGAAACTCAATTCGGGTTAAACTCAATTAAAAAGCACATATTTACAAAATTACAAAATTCCAGATAAAAGTTCTAATTATTTTCAATGGCATCTCAGGGCCGAATCTCTGTTGCATCACACAGCAGCGAGAGAGTTATATGGTCGTGATTATTGTTGTGATTACAGCTATGTGCGTGGATTTGCAAATGAATCAGTTTGTCTTTGTATTTTCAACTAGTGTTTCAGTTGGGGTCCTCTTGTATGACGTCCATTTCTATGTGCTGTGTTAGAAAAGTTCAAGAACTAGCGTGACAAATGGTGTGTTTAAAATTCTAACTACCACCTACCCTAACCCTCGGACTTGAACCCTTCCCGCGAACCCTAACTCTAACCCGAACACTTAACCCGCCCGCTTGGAAGTTCTGCCCCTGGAGTCTAACACACTTTCCAAGCCTTCTTTGCCATGCCTTCATGCACTCCTGGAAGAATTCTTCCGGGATCCTCAACAGCTCTGTCATCACGGCCATCTCAATGACATTGTCAAAACAAATTCTCTCAATGACCCACTTGAGCTTGGAAAAGGGAATAAACAAATCACAAGGAATGGTTGGATGCTCGGGGTATTGTGAACGGGCATGTTGTGTCATGCGTGGTTGAAGCAGCCACAAGTTATCCTGCCTCAACTCTCTCCTCTTCTTGTCCACTGAACAAAGCAAATTCTGCAGGCTATCTTTACCAATGTGCTGTTTGATCGTCTGACCAACAATGGAAGGGAAAACTCGTAGTCTATAGTTTGGGTTTGAAATATATCTCTTGTGACACCGATCCTGACACTGGGTCAGTACTCAAAGAGAGAAAAACACGCCTGTTGTTTGGCCATTATGTAACATCCACGAGCTGGAGAGTCTTAAAAGCATCTTCTTTCCCCAAACCACAAAAGCAACAGGACTGAACTTTGGGTTTAGTCACATGAAAGTAGCAAAGAGAGATAGTTGTTAGAAGCGGGCAGTGCCAAAAATGTGTCCCCCTCCAAGGGGGAATGCAATAAAGAGCCCTTTAATTGCAGAGATCCTTGCAATGTTGCAACTCCATAAAAGAGTAGCAAGTCTAAAAGTGTAAGCATGGAAAGTTGCCTCAGGTAAATTCAAGTCTGTACATGGTGCTTACACATGATTGTTCTCGAACATCTCCATTTGATCTTTCCAAAAATAGCAAGTAATGTAATTAGGCTACTCACTCACAGCACACAAATGTCCCATGGCACTGTTCTAGGCAATAGGTTAAAGAGCTACAACCTCATAAAAAAAGTTAATATCTGATTTAACAAATGCATCGTCAATCAGCAATAACCTATTTGGAATATTTTATTAAACGTTTCGACTTAGCTCAGAAAAGAAATAAATTATTTCAGCTGTGCAACATTTGATTTGTGTCATACATTCATTTTTTTTACATACTTAATTTCTTACCTGCCTAAAATAAAACATGAATCAATCTAGTTATTGCCGTGAATACAAATATATCTACAGTACAATTGCAGGTTTATTTCTGGTTTGTTTGTTGCTGTCCATTTTCCATGGCACTTGCTGTCATTAAGGTCACGAGTATGAGCTGGGGCCTATTCCAGCTGACTGCGAGCGAGGGGCGGGGTTGAATTGTGCATATATTTACGGTATTAAATTATATTTAGACTTGTATGATTCAGATTATTTCATAGTTGTTTAAAAGTCACACAAGAACAAAAAGTACATTAAGTTGTTTTTAAGGGACATTACATGCTTGAAACAAACTAAAGTACACTAAAATAATAATAATTATTCCTATTATTATTATTATTCATTATTAAATATTTTTAGTAGTCATTTGAGTCATCGCAGAAGTAGCAGCAGACGTATTCCACAGTTGTTTCTAACACATAGATGAAGAAATGAAGAATGGCTCCTCACAGTATTATTGTCATTTTCTGATATTAAAATGTTTTTATTGGATTTTTGGTCATTTATTCAAATGCATTTATTTTTGTTAAATTCAATGTTATTTATTTATGTATTTGACTTCTGTTATTTCCAGTACTTTTTGTAGTTTACGGTTGTTTATCAGTGACATTAGAAAGACATGTTTCCTTGAACTTCACTCTCTAATTTATTCTGAAAGAAGAAAATCTTTCATCACATATTTCTTGTGAACTTGCAGCAAGCGGTATCAGCCGGCTGTTTTCGCCTCACTTGGAGACGAAGTGGCACAAAAGTTGAAAGCCCGGGCCAAGTTTGTGTTCCGTGCTTCTTTTCAAACTCCTCACTGACATCATCTGTGTTGAAAGCACGTGTGATTGGCTGCAGAGGGGTTTAGCCAGATGGCCGCTCATCTCTGCGAAGCCTTTGAAAGCCTCTTAAAACGAAGGGCACGAGCGCCAGGAGACAACGGAGCAACCGTGCCGCAACCGCTGTGGAATTAGCATGTCACTGGCTCTCAGGAGCCAAACACCGTTCAGGAAATGCTCAGCGACCGTGCCTGTTGCTATGCCCTCACCTGGAAGCCAGCCAGCGTGTACTCATGCAATGTGGGGCCATGTGTTACACTTCTGCTTTTGATCACAAAGGGCACCTCCCCGAGTTTATAGCACAGCCTTTTGTTTGTTTAAAGATATTGGAGCTGGGAGTAATCCAGAAGAGAGTGTACAGAAAGTAGTTTATTTCACTGGGTCAAGTAGTGTGCTAATTGAATTAAACATTCTTCATCATCGTCATCATGTATTAAGTCACATGAGACGTCTATCGTCAGCAGTGGTGTCCAACCAATGGTCCGCGGGAGGGTCCTGGTCCAATTAGGGCTCAGCAAATTTGGAAAATAATGTAATTGCAATTTTTTGCAAACATATCACATAAGTGATAAATCAGAGAACAAGAATAATGCAAACAAATCTGTGGCTTTATTATGTCAAATTTTCATATTCCGTGTGGAATGCACTATTTAAGCGCAAATTTTATCTCGACACTGTAAAAATAAACATATAAAATATTCATAACTGTATATAGGTTGATAAAAAATAAATCCTATCGTCCAACCAAAATGAAGCTGAGTCACTGCCGCCAAATTGTATCCTGGAAGTTACTACACTGCAATGTCGATTTGAATTTGAGTAATTGTTCACGTTTTTAGAGTGGCCTTTTATTGTGGGCAGCCCAAGCAGACCATTACATTACCTGTGGAAAAAAAAAATAGGAAGACTGACAAACATCCTCACAATCACAGTCTGTCGTCTGACATGATTTTAAATAATTCTCTCAAAACCAAATTTTCCTGGACCCCCCCCCCAAAAAAAAAAGTGTATGGCCGCTTGTGTGTGAATATGCCATAACAACCATGCCAATGACATTCTTGAAGTGGCCCTTGACCTTCCTTTGACATTCCTTACTTGTTTTTGTCTCTTCCTTATGGCTGAATCATAATGACCTCAGAGCAACTTCTCATTAAAGTGAGCTTGAAATACACAAACTCCACAGTGGAGGACAAGCCAGTGTTGACCTCTAGGCAGGTTAAAAGCAAACAATGGGAAATACTTTTGCATTGTTTGATGCAGGTTGCTTGTATTGTTGTACTGATTGTTTGAGTCAACATTGAAACAACCACCTATGTTGGATAAACAGGCCTCATTTACTGCAGAGGCTGAAGGAAAAAGTAAGAAATAAACAAAACAAAACAAAAAAACAAACACATTTACTGTAGTCGACTAAACGTATATTTAAATAGATGATTTTTTTTATCAAGTACATATAAATGCATCCACACAAATTCTGATGATTGGTATTTGCATACCCTGCTCATTGTACAAAGTACAAGTATGAAAACCACCCCAAAAAACTCAGTCACAGCAAAACAACCAAATGAGATTTGTGACTATTCGAATCGATGATTATATGGACATTTTGTAGCCTTCAAATGTTCATTATTTACCCATTTGTCACAATGACGACTGCCAACAAGTGTGTTTTTTTTTTTTTTTTTTTTTTTTTTACATGTTTACAATTATCTTCATGTCTTAATCAACTGCTTTCCTCCCCTCATTTCTTTTCTTTATCGCTCGGCTCTTATGTCTGTGTACCAAACTTTTCATCCCAGTCACAACAACAACATAGCGTTCATGCGCGCGTGTGTTTGTGTGAGTCCAATTTTCCACACAGGATGACAAAGGGAGAGTTGTAGTTGTGTGGCTTCAGAGGAAAGCCTTTGTCATTTCCTTCCCGTTTCCTTAATTTTATTATTTGGTCTCCTGCTGCAAACTGCCCCCTCTTTCCTCCACCTGGACACACATACAAACCCAATTCAAATGAAGTTGTGACCTTGTGTAAAACATTAAAAAAAAAAAAAGGATACGATGATTTGCAAATCATGATCAAAATATATTTAAGTTACAAAGACAAGATATTTAATGTCAATGTTGATAATAAAGAATCATTAACTTAATACGGTACTTTTATGGCTGCAACATGTTCGAAAGTAGCCACTGTGTTCCATAACCTTTTCTTTTGACAACATTCAATAAATGTGAGAGAACCGAGGACACTAAGTGTTGAAACTTTGTAGGAGGAATTCTTCCCCATTCTTGCTTGATATGAAGCTTCAACCGTTCAATAATCCGGGTGCTCTGTTGTCGTATTCTACGTTTTATAATGTGCCCCACGTTTTCAATGGGAGACAGGTCTGGACTGTAGACAGGCCAGTCTCGTACCTGCACTCATTCACTCCAAAGGCAGACTGTTGAAACACATGTAGTATGGCAGTATAGGTTTCTCCATAACCTGTATGTACCTTTCAGCATTAATGGTGCCTTCACAGATTTAAATTGCCCATGCCATTGGCACTAACACAGCCCCATGCCATCACAGATGCTGGCTTTTGAACTTTGTGTCCGTAACAGTCCGGATGATTCTTTCGCTCTTTGGCCCAGAGGACACGGTGTCCAAAATTTCCAAAAACAATTTGAAATGTGGACTTGCAGAACATTCTCAACATGTCCAACTGTTCAGTGTCTGACACTTAGAGTATCACACAGTTGTCGCGTGCAGGTTGCAACAGAGAGCTTGGAAGAGTCACAGAAAGACATAGAAGCGGACTCCCGTGGAAATTTTCATCAAACACATGATGTGAAATTTGCTGGGCTGAGCGTTAGATTAGAATGTGGATGGAGGAGTTGTTATTTGTAATTAATTATTTTGCCGATATTCCGCACAGCTTTCCAATGCCACCGAAAGTATTATGATTACACTTTTCCTCTTTGCCGTTACAGCTACCCTTCTGTGATAGTAAAGCAACAAAAGAAGCCGAAGAAAGTACAAAACTTTCAAATGTCGTACAACAATAGAGACATAGTTTTGACAAAGTAAATTTTAACCAGGACATGTGAATTTACAAATTTATGTCACATCAAGAAAGAGATGGTGCATTTCTATGTGACAAATGGCACTGCTCGTCACATCTTGTACAAGGTGGTGCCTATTGGTCGTGGGAATGCAGAGGAACTGCAATACACTGGCCTGAACACAAAAGATCAACACGAGGCTCTATAATCCTTTCATTTATGAAAATGAAATTGACAGATACTATTGTTTGCTCCAATAAGCAAAATACACTGACTTATCGTGACAGGAATGTTCCCAGTCAGGATACATTAGATTAAATGGGATTGTGCTTTGTGCCCATGTGTGTGTGAGCGTAAGCATGTTTTGAATACTCGGTGTGAACATTGAGAATGTTTTTACTTTTGCTTTGACAATATAGTCTGCCACAATCGAGTTTATAACCATTAAAACTTACATGAATAAAGCACGCGCACGCACACACACACACACACACACACACACACACACACACACACACACACACACACACACACACACACACACACACACACACACACAGCAAATATGGTAAATAATGTCGTGTCAATCCACGACACTATCATGGTTCCGGACCAGTCCGGAACAGGAGTGGATCCCACAAACGCAGACATGGATAAGATCGAGTACAAAAAAGGTTTATTTACAAAATAAGGTTGCGAGAACGACAACGTGCAACATAAATCGTTGGGAAAAACCAGAGCTAAATAACACTATGAACAAAAAGAGCTTGCAAAAAGCAAGACAAATAAATAATTGTCCAAAAACAACACGGAAAAGCCAATCAATGGAAAAAACAAAAACGCACCAAGGATAAAAAGACGAAAACAAAACAGAAATAACAAGCGAAACAAACCAGAATACAAACAGAACGACGAACGAGATCAAGAATGATGAAGGTCTAGAACAGGGGTGGGCAATCCCAGTCCTGGAGGGCCGCTATCCTGCATGTTTTCCATCTGTCCCTTCTCCAACACACCTGATTCAAATGATCAGATCATCAGCAAGCTCTGTCGAGGCCTGAACAATTGAATCAGGTGTGTTGCAACAGGGACAGATGGAAAATATGCAGGATAGCGGCCCTCCAGGACTGGGATTGCCCACCCCTGGTCTAGAAAGTAGCTCTTGGATGTGAGACATGAGCAAGGCAAATATTCCGACAACTGGTGATGGCTTGGCAGTCTCTTACAACAGGTGACAGGCAATAATGGGAGGGAGAGCCCACCACTGCCACCTGCTGGAGACAAAACAAAACAAAACCGTGACAGAAACAAACATCAAGAATACAAAGATAATGGTCGCAATTTAAGGGAAATCCTGCCTGGTTACAAGCTGTACTTCATAAGAAATATAAGAGGCTTTAAAATGGAACCAATTACTCCAAAGTGCTTGTTTAATCTGCCTCATATTTAATCCTAGCAGTGCAGAGCTAATGGGATTAACACTGTCATTTCATTTCAGCTAAATTGGGCAAAATACCGTATATGAAGGCACTACCAGACATAACACACTACATTAGCAACACATTCATCTCTGCATTAGGGGCCCCAAAATCCATCCATCCATGTTGTATACCACTAATCCTGTTCAAGGGCATGAGAAACCTGAGCCTATCGTAGCTGATTTTGGATAAAAGGCAGACGACACCCTGAACTGGTCGCCAGCCAATCGCCGTACACGTATACACAAACAGCTAGTTCCACTCACATCCACTGCATCATTGCGTGGGAATATGACCTGCACGGTGCAACTTCAGGGGCAAAATGCTATTTATTTTTTACGACAGAGGAGTTCTTCAACTGCCTGAATAGAAACGTGTCGCATACGTTATTTGGACAGGAATTCTGCCCAGCAGCAAGTCAACCGGTCAATGTGTGAATTGGAAAAACACTCCAAGTAATTTTGTGTTGATGCGCAAGGGCGGATCCTGGCATGTGCCACATGTGAAGCCACACAAGGCAACATTCCTGAGGGGGCAATGGTGGGAAGGGCAGCTTCAGCTTCTGCTGTAGTGTTGGGGACGTTGTTTCTAGGCATGCTAACATGCCGAGCAGCATTTGTATATAGTTGTAGCTACACCCTAAACTGGACGCAGTTCAGGGTGTGTTTATATATATGAGGCAACCTGGTCGTTGACTGGCTAGTGCGGCGGCAGCCTCACACTGCAGAGGTGCAGGGTTCGATCTTGTAGTTATTTTCTTCTTTGTGATACAACCGTATACAGTATACTAAAAATATTTTTTATTTGCATGCGCAGTAGGTCACAGTGACCGATGAACAATTTTGGTGTACCAAAGAAACAAACATAACAGGAGGGCTACTCGACTAACACATTAAAACTCTGCCTTGCTGCAATGTTCATCAATGAAAACATCCACAGTTTCTTGGCACACCATCACAATGCGTGTGTGGAAGTCTCTGGAGATCCAAACTGCCGATGGCATGACTTTGATTTGACGTTCAAAAAATATTAAGCGGCAGTCCAAAGTTGCCGTCAAGCGCCATAAGCACAACCCTCCCTCCCATGGATGAACAAGGTAAAGAAGCATGACAATCAAGTTCGCTATTGCACAAGGTATGAGGAGGCCACAAAACACTCCACCATGTCAAGTGTTGTCTGTTTTAGAGCAATTAAACACTGTGTGTTGATGATGTTGCCAACAACAACAACAACAACAACAACATTACCAGCAGGGTGAAACTCATTTCTGTTTAATTACTTTGTAGAAACAAATTCACACCCTCATGAAAGCTATACACGTCATCACTGCGTGATCCTCCCCCGTTTCTCAAATTTTTTTCTCATAAACCACATTAAAAAAAAAAAAAAAAAAGGCTCACGAAAGCTCGTATTTTGAATCACTTGCAAGTCTGGCCGCGTGTAATTCAAGACAACAATGTCTGTTTAAATGGATCAGTATTTATTGATTATTATGATTTCTGACAGCACGAAATGTTCCCTTGATGATACAGTATTGTACCTTCTGTTGGGACAGGGGTTCAGAATCCCTCGTCCCCTGGTCCTGTGTGTCGTTTGCACATCCTCCCTGCACTAATGTGGGTTTTCTCGAGGTACTGTACGCAAGTTTCCTCCCACATTCCAAAAACATACGTTTGGTTTATTGAAGACTTGAAATTACCACTAGGTGTGATTGTGAATGTGAATAGCCGGTTGTCTCTATTGAATATACTATCACCCGTCATCAGTCTAGGTCCTAGACTATTTTAATTGGCTCCACCTTAATCAAGCACCCTAATGAGAAAAAAAAAACCTCACTATAATTCAAATGGATGGATGGATTCTGATTTTATGTTTGCATTTTGGTTGGTTAGTGGGGTAATGCCACAACTACCTGAGGTAATTATGAGAAACTATTTTTCAAAACACTGCAAGATTGAGATTTTTTTTTTTTTTTTTGTAATCCTCACTGAATAATGCATGCACCATCAGTAAATTTACACTCCAGGTTTAACTGCCAAATTCCAATTTACAGTAATGCCTACGTTTGTAGATACAAGAGCATAACATAAATGAATGCTTGCCTGCCTCCATGAGTGCCAGCCCAGTGATTGACAGGCAGTACAGACTGTACCCGTGCCTCTTGCTTCCCTGTGTCCCTAAACAAACTGCGCGGTATAGAAACTGGATGGAATTTCACCATGCTGAAATGTTTGTTAAAACTTCACACAACAATGAACAATGATCTTCAAACCAAGAGGTTATTGTTCTTTTTAAAGCCGGCGTACCATTAGCGTGGTCCCAAAGCTGCAGCAGTGCATGGGGCTTTACTATATGTAGGTATGCATATGCGCGCACATACACAAACGTGTTTCGGGAACGGGTGAGCTTGAAAGAATGTGAGCGGGAATGTGCATGTTTGTTTTGTACGTGTATCTTCAGCGA